TGCTGTTTTGTAGACTGTGCAAGTGGAAACAACGGAATAAGTAGGCAGAATTTATCGCCTACCGTGACACAGATTTTGTAATCCACAAATTTCCACATCATTGATATCATGCAGATTAATAGCAGTTTATTGACATAATATACTTATTTAAGATACAGCATTTAATGACACAGCATTTTCTTGATGGGACTTTGCTGGGTAAAGTTCATCAAATATTATGAGAAACATTCCAAAATCAGTGGCTCGTGAAAGATGACATGATTATACATTAAGACATAGTTAATGTATCTTGATATGATTTTTTAAGCTATAAAATAATTCCAAGATACGCAACAAGTGTAATGCAGCGCGAAATAGTTTTATCGCGATAAAAATCAGTATACAATTTTAGTATCGGCATTATGAAATGTAGAGCAATCAAGAGAGTTCAATCATTTTCATAGAGGATATTTATTTAGTTCAGTGAAAGATCGGAATATATTTCACCGAGTGAGCACCAAAAGGAATATTTCACGAGTGGCGCAGTCACAAGTGAAATATAAATTTTTGGTGTTCACGTGGTGAAATATATTTCGATCTTACAATAAAATCAACAATTTTTCTTTTTTAACCTGCAAAAAAAACGTTTAAAAAGACATTTAACCTAAAACAAAAAATGAAAAGCGTGCAAAATAATAATACTACGTGACGTCATTTACGACGTCACGTTATTAAGTTGGTTTCCAGTACTGTGCACGCTGGTATTTCACTGAAACAACGTAAGGGACTTTAATTCAAAACAGTGAAATTATCAAATTGATAATTTCACTGTTTCAAAAAGTGAAATTATCAGTTTTATATTTCAATGATATATTTCTATAAACCACCGGAAAGAATGTAATTAAAAGTGATAATCACAACAGATACGTTTTGTTTTTAGGTGATATTGAAGATAAAAAAGTCTAAAACACTATGAGAACTAAAAGATCGTTTGAACAACGATTAAAGTGTTGAGGCAAAATAAGATAGCTTTATTTTTTGCTTGCTTGTTCCTATGTCAAATTAAAACTGTTATGGCCATATGGCGACTGTCAAGCTTTACTGGAGGAAAAAGACGTCAAATGCCCCTTGAACACTTTCAAGCCCGAACGAGTATTCGAGAGAAAAAATAGCTCGATAACTTTCTCAGGTGTCAGAATCCAAATTTAATGGCAGGGTTCAACCCGACGACAGTGAGGGATAAGCGGTCTAAACATGATGCTGATGATAACAAGGATAATCAAAGCACAGAAGGAGTTGAATTTGTTTGGGTCTCAGAACGGTGAAGGTTGTGAGATTATAAACCAATTTGTTTTTGTATAGTGCCACCAATGATTTCCAGCGTTTTAATTGTAGTAGATTGGCTATAAGACTAATTGCAACACTGATATTCAGACTTAAACAATTTGGAAAAAAAATGAGTTGCCTTAACTGGTCTGACGACCCAAACAAATAAAAATAGATGGCAGTTATACTGGTAATTAAATATTGACTTTAAATGTGAAATGCTGAATGGTAAGAAAAAACAACTTTAATAGACAACCTTCGTGGATACTGGCTCCTGAATAGTCAAAGTGCACGTATTTCATATACATGTACAAAGAAAATGAGACGTGAAGAAAATGAAATCGGTATAATCCTTTGACTCAATCTCTAACTGAAAGCATGAGGAACATGGAAATAATGTATCGCTTTATGGAGCTATGCAAGTTTTTTTTTAGATATTTCTTTGACAAGACGCTGCCCTTAAGTTTTGACGTGATCCATATTATAACGAAAAATAACCTTCTTGAATAATCAATCTTAAGGATTCATGAATTCGCAACGGAAGAGTGAGGAATTTGATTCCGTGATTTTTGTTTTGTAACTTATTTTGCAATATAACAAGGAAAGAAGTCTTTATAAAATTACAGTAATTACCAATATCTGTCTTCCTGGTAGGCGAAATTAAAAAAATCTTGACCATTGCTGAATTTCTACAGCATACTTGACTAGTATAGATCATGGCCAGACTGCATGGACTTACAGTACCCGTTTTTAACTGTAGGCAAAGGATAATGATTTTTTTTTATTTCAGCGGGTAAGCAGAGATTACTCCCCCCCCCCCACACACACACAATCACGCCCTCCAACACATAGCGATCCTTGCTGTATGGTCAGGTGTGCGGACTTACAAACTTTGGAATATGTACAATCCTGCAGGTCTTCTTATATTGTGTGCTTTATTATGACACCCAAGTACATTATTTTAACATTACATTAAGGAAAATGACCATATTTGCTTTAAATTGAGCGCCACTAAAAGAGCCAAAAAATTGAAATTCTAAAAGATCAGCTGGTATAGCCAAATTTGCGTTAAGTAAGTGTTGCAACGTTTATCTTTTCTTTTTTTTGGAAACCGAGTAAGCAATTTTATGAAATTTTGCAACAAAGATATTGGTCATGGTTCATAAATCTTGAAAAAATATATTGCACTTCCTTCATGTCAAATAAAACAAGAACCACCACCGGGCAGGGGCAACGCTCAACTTTTTAGTTTGTTTTTTCCTAAAAGCAAACAAATAAACGGTTTAAACAAATAAAAAAATAAGTTTTTTTCCTTTTTTATTTCTGTGTTACTTTGTCCAAGTATGAATCCTTTCCATAAATAAATGACAATGTCAATAAAATATAACCAATCAATGTCATTTAAAGGTCAAGGTCATATTTAAATTATTCCTCATGTCTGTTTAGTCACAAATGTTCTTTGTCCAAATATGATTCAAATCCGTACACGAATAACAAAATTATGACAACAGAACCTAAATTCAATATTTTGACCTTAAAGGTCAAGGTCATTAAAAGCTCAAGGTCAGTTCAACATTTTATTTGTCTTGAACAAAAGGTTGTTTAGTCCAAGTATGAAAATAATCCATTGATAACGTTACAGCTAATTGTAGCTATAATCAGTGGAAATAAAATAATTTGACCTTCAAGGTCAAGGTCATACATGAGTCAATGTCAATTTAAGTTGATACATAGAGGTCTAGCTCTAACAGATGTTGTTTCTTGATATGAAGTAAATCCATTTATAAACAAGAAAGTTATAGCAAGTTGCAGAAGAAATCAAGATAATTTCATTTATTTAACCTTGACAGTCAAGGTCAATTTAAGGTTAAGGTCACATCTGAATTATGTAATATGTTTGTTTGGTAGCAAGTCTTGTTTTGTCCAAGTTTAAATAAAATCCCTACATAAATACAAACTAGAACTCAACGAGTCGGATGTGTCGCCTTGTGAACAATATAGTTTAGGAGAAATGGCCTGGACAAAAATGAAGAAAATAAAGAAGTGCAGAGTACTGATTGTTGTACACTGCACTTTTTCTTAATGAGAATTATCATCCTATGAAGTTTCATGTCCATAGCTTTTATACTTTAGGAGAAATGGCCTGGACAGAAATAAAGTATGAAAATTAACAAAGGGCAATAACTCAAAAAATAAGATATGCAGAGTACAGGTTCTTGTGCAACGCACTTTTTCTTAATGAGATCTATCATCCTATCAAGTTTCAAGTCCATAGCTTTTAAACATTAGGAGAAATGGCCCATACAAAAATAAAATATGAAAATTTACAAAGGGAAATAACTCAAAAATTAAGAAGTGCAGAGTACTTGTGCACTGCACTTCGGGTCATTATAAGAAGCATGCATACCTGGAGTTTGAAAACAATTCAACTGACTTATGCTCCAGACAAGCTTAAGGGGACGCCAAAGCCGACAACAACATAAGTAAACCCTGCGTCGCCTTTTTCAAGGCGACACAAAATTTATGAAAATTTAACCAAAATTTAATAAGTTGAGCTAAAAATAATACAAGAGGGCCATGATGGCCCTTAGTCGCTCACTGCTTTTCAGTGTTGGAATGTCAATATTTTCGAAAATTAAATTTGAGCTTAAACAATAATTTGAAGAAATGCCATGACCTGCGGCATTTAAGCTTTAGCTTAAACGGGGCTAATCAAATTAATATGAGCAAACTTGATAAAAGACTACCTAAGAATGCTACAAAGTTTAGTGATCATCTAATTCAATTATTTCGGTAGGAAATGATGATCGAAGGTTTTTTTTTATTTTTAGCTTTAGTGGCCCCTAAAAGGGGCTAATCAAATTGATATAAGCAAACTTGATAAAAGAGTACCCAAGAATGCTACAGACAAAGTTTGGTGATCATCCATCCTTTAGTTCTCTAGAAATAGACATTTAATGGTATATCTATTTTTAGCCCTAGAGACCCCTAAAAGGGGCCAATCAAAAATGTATTAGCAAACTTGATAAAAGACTACCTAAGAATGCTACAGACAAAGTTTGGTGATCATCCATCAATTAGTTCTCTAGATATAGACATTTAAACGTTTTTCTATTTTTAGCTTTAGCAGCCCCTAAAAGGGGCCAATCAAATTCATATGAGCAAGCTTGATAAAAGACTACCCAAGAATGCTACAGACAAAGTTTGGTAATCATCCATCAATTAGTTCTGTAGAAGAAGAGGTTTAAAGGTTTTTCTATTTTTAGCCCTAGAGGCCCCTAAAAGGGGCCAATCAAATTAATATGAGCAAACTTGATAAAAGACTACCCAAGAATGCTACAGACAAAGTTTGGTGATCATCCATCAATTATTTCTGTAGAAGAAGATGTTTAAAGGTTTTTCTATTTTTAGCTCTGCTGACCCCTAAATGGGGCCAATTGGAATGACATGAGCAAATTCAAGTGCGACTGTCACAAGGATGCTACAGACCAAATTTGAAGTAAATCTGCCTAGTAGTTTCAGAGAAGAAGACGATTGTTGACGCATGACGACGGACGCCAGAGCATCCATAATTTTGAGTTGGTCAGCCTCCTTTAAAAAGACTCAGTAAAACAAAACAACACTATTAATATCACAGCTTTATTGTTAAAACCATATAATTACATATATATATCAACAATATATCAACAATAAATAATAATAAAATTGTAAAAATGCAAAATAAAGTTACAGATAAAGCTGGAATATACCAGATATAAGGTCCACAGTACAGTACTGGATATTTTTAATACCAAAAAATACCATCATTTAAAAACTCCATGCAACCACATCATCAGTAAAAGTACAAGTTTTTGTCTTTGTTCATCATATACAACTTTTTAAACACAAGTATCATAGAATTTGTATTTATGACTTTAAATGTAAGCTTATCATTGTTACAATCAAAAGATTGATTTAGATACATTAGGCACAGTATAAATGTACATTAAAAATCTTGCACAGTTTTTGATTTTAATCAAATTAAATCTCATCCTAACAGGATATATTTGTAGGTCTATCTATATGTAGATAAGGTTAAATCTTTGCTAAATTTAACCTTATCTACATATAAATGAATAAACTATAAATAAACAAGTCCAAATTGTTCAGGAGATTCAAACTTTCAGTATCTTAAAACTTATTCACAATACTCAAAGTTCAAAACATTATGTTTGTAAAGGTCACAGGAGAACCCTTGTAAAGGTCACAGGTGAATGGTTCATGGTGAAAGAATCAATGCTGGTTGAACAGGTCAAACTAATGGTTTTACTGGAAGTCCTACTGATCCAGGAGTCTGAAATCAGAAAATGACATTGATATTTTTTTCTAATGAACATTGATCTACCTTAATCTAAATAGTCACTTACAGTGTGAAAATAATTCTTGTTAACAAAAATGAATATAGAGTCTGAAGTTATGCATAATTATTTAAGAACACACATTTTAAAAATAGCAGGTTCGAATGTAAAATGAAATAAAATTGTTAAAATCTTAAACATGTTTGTCATGTAAATTAGAGTTCAACAAGAAAGACAAATATAGTTTGCTGTATTTGTTATCAACAATGATTAAAAATGCTCAGGTACATGTACTCAAATTTAATATTTCTTGATACTTGCTTAAAAAAATTCATTTCATTTTCCTGAAACTTGAAATAATGTTTACATAGAAACAGAAGCAAACTAGGTACAATTTTGTTACAAGTGTTATTAGAAGCCAGAGTAGAAATCAAATATCACTAGTTAACTAGCTATATAATATATGTACACATGTAGTAACAATCAAAAACATTCTCTATCATAGATAGATAATATCTGGATATCTCAAAACAAAAACATAACTAATATAAATTGCACAACAAGACATTGTCCATACTTTAGCTTAATAAAACACTACCATGCATTATTAAGAAGTCAAATATCACACATACAAAATGTACTTAAAATGGTTAGCATAATATTAGGTAAGCATGCATTACTTTCACAGGCATAACACTTAATAAAGTAAAAGTAATTGCATTTTATAGTCTAAGTTTCATGCTTACGCTCATTCACTGACTTTACAGCTATTACCCCTGGTCATTGGGCTACTGGTATTCTATCTATCAATCTCCCTGGGGAGTCTTTTAACTCTGCTTAGTGCAGCCGACACTTTGGTGCAATGGAATTATACCACCCTCGCAGGTACCCATTTACACCTGGGTGAAGTTAAGCAATTGCATGTTAATTTCTTGCTCCAGGACATTAGCAGTGCCCCTGGTGGGGTTCGAACCCGGGACCTCTTGATCCCTAAGCGCGCGTCCTACCACTGGACTACTGCTCCTACAATCTTACTCCTAATAACTTGTACTATCTTGTCTATATATTTTTATAACAAAGAATTGATTAAGCATTATGCAATTTTAAGACAAGGCAGGCAAAAAAATATATTTAGAAGGTAAAGTCAAAGAGTTTTATTACAATGTTACAAAGATACATACAGCATCTATAGGAAAAGCTATGAAAGATAACATTATATGAAGCAGTATAGATACATGCATTATTATACAAGAGCAGATTATTTACTAAAAGCAAAGCTTATCACAAATATTACCATCTTTTATTTTGTTTCATCCAAGCATTCAAGGTAGTGGTAGCTAAATTTAAACAAAACATTATAAAAATACAATAATAATATTCAAAGTATTACAGATTTTTAAACTAATAAATCTTAAAAATATAGCATGACTTAATAACATCCACTATTATATAAATAAAGATTCCATATTGTACCCTTTTAACAAAGAGTTTTTAACAAACAAAAGGGCCATGATGGCCCTGAAGTCGCTCACCTGTATCATGCCCCCAGAGCGGGACAAGTTTCAACCCCAGGGCTTTTATTTAAACAAACTTGGTAGACACCCATTAGAAGATGTTTCATGCTAAACATCGAAAGTCTAGCTTGTCAAGTTTTTTCTTTACACATATAGTTAAAAACAATGACACACCTGGGGCAGGGCCAATTTTGACCCAAGGGCTTTTATTTGAACAATCTTTGTAGACACTTACTAGAAAATGTTTCATGCTTAATATCTAAACTCTAGCTATTCAGGTTTTTTCAAAAAAGATTTTTAAGTTTTTGCTATACACATAATTATAAGGAAAATCAATGTCCCTTGTGGCGGGGCCAATTTTGACCCCAGGGCTTTTATTTGAACAAACTTGGTACACACTCATTAGAAGATGTTTCATGCTTAGTATCTAAACTCTAGCTATTTGAGTTTTTTCAAAGAAGATTTTTTAAGTTTTTGCTATACACATATAAGGAAAATCAATGACCCCCGGGGCGGGGCCAATTTTGACCCCAGGGCTCTTATTTGAACAAACTTGGTAGACATCCATTAGAACATGTTTCATGCTTAGTATCTTAGCTCTAAGTTTTTACTATATGCATATAGGGAAAATCAATGACCCCCTGGGGCGGGGCCAATTGTGACCCCAGGGCTTTTATTTGAACAAACTTGGTAGACACCCATTAGAAGATGTTTCATGCTTAATATCTTAGCTCTAGCTTTTTGGGTTCTTTAAAAGAAGATTTTTTAAGTTTTTACTATATGAATATAGGGAAAATCAATGACCCCCTGGGGCGGGGCCAATTTTGACCCCAGGGCTTTTATTTGTACAAAATTTGGTAGAAACTCACTACAAGATGTTTCATGCCAAATATCTAAGCTCTAGCTCTTTGGGTTTTTAAGAGGAAGATAATAAAAGTTTTTTTCTTTTGGTTGCCATGGCAACCAGAGTTCTGCATGGAATTAAATTCTTTGAACAATTTTCAAAGGTGACCACCAAAGGAACATTCCTGTGAAGTTTGGATGAAATTGGCCGAGTGGTTTATGAGGAGATGTCATTTAAAGTAAAAGTTTACATATGACGGACGCCGGACTGACGACGAAAGGACGGACGACGAACGGACGGACGGACGCCGATTGAAAAGCGATCACAAAAGCTCACCCTGTCACTTTGTGACAGGTGAAGTAAAAAGATAAATGAGAAATATTTCAAGTATGTAAATATAATAAAATTACATAATCAAGAAAATATCCAATTTTTATTGTCAGATCTAAAATTAAAACATTCTTTTTTCTTAATTACAAATTTAGGAAAATTGTTAATTTTTTTTATAAATTCAATATCTTATTTGGCAAAAACATATATATGCTCATCCCCAATATTATAATACAAAAGAGTATGTAACATTATTATTAAAATATTATACATGTAATTGTTTATATACATTATACAAGTAAAATTAGACCACAAACATGCAAACAACTCTAAAGTCATTAACAAAATATATGAGTTCATTATAAAATATGTTTTAATATATAATACCAAATCATACTGCATTTTATATATAGTATATAATTAATTTTATATAGTATATAATTATTACCATTAAATCTTATATTATATAAATTTATACCCGTAACATATATAGTAAAGTAAGACCCAAATATTAAACCAGAGAATGAATTGTAAAGGATGTCACAAACATCATGATCATTTATTAAAATGCTTTCTAATTAAATAAATGTTTAGTTTTCATATATTAAAATTAATAATATGGTTAATTCATATTATGAATCTATTTTTCATGTTCTTATGGTCTTTTTCATATGTAACAGTGTTGTTGTGCTGTAAAGTATCCATTCAGCAATGGTGTAATGAAAATTATTACATTGATTTACATTTTTCTTATTGTTCACTGTTGATAAATGTTTATTGTTACCTCAATGGTGTATCGCACTGCTGTTCATGTATTTAATGTGTCTTTTTGTATACTTGTCAGGAAATTTATTATATATTGAAGGTTTGTTGATATATGTTAAAAATAGTTTTTTATTGTAATTTAGAACCTTTCCGACTTACAAAACATGAAATATCTTGTGGAATTTATAAAATTGATAATTATTGGATTTTAAACATGATTCTTTGAAACATTGTTGGATTATTCACATGAAACATAAAGAAAAGGATATCAAAATTAATTAACCATTTCTTGTTCTTTTTACTTTCATGTGAACTTTTTCTATTGTAGCATAATTGTAAAGCTTGAAATTGAAACTTCGCTACAAGGGAAATATATCAATATAAATTGACAGAGACTGTTAAATAATAGCATCATGAAATATATAACAAGAAGAGTTCATGTGTAAATGATAGGTAGCTAAATTATAAATGGGCAATCTCTGTTTTGCAGTTCTAAAACATGCATATCATGAAGTTGATCATGGAATTTCTGGAGTCAATGTTTACTAATATGACAGGTGCAAGCAAGAGTGTTGATTTATGCAAGAACAATACATTTCAAATCAGTGCTTCACATATTAACATATTACCTGAATGTACACTAGACCTTCTAACATGTAACATTAAAAGCAGTTTTCACACAGATCATAAATATCAAATACATGTTTTCTCTGATTATAATTACAAAACAAAAGTTGTCAGTCAGATTATAGCATACTTGACTATTCTCAGTGCTGAAAGTGAAACATTAGAGTCTAGATTACGAAGAATTTTCATAGTATAAAATTAGGCCATAATTTTGTAAAAAATCCATGTTACAGTTATAGGGCTTGGGCAGTGACCCTCCTTGTTAATTATGCTTTCAAAGTGTTTTAACTCTTTTCTTCAGCATAGTTTTGAAGATACCAACTTACATGCGAAAACTTAAACATAGTTTGGCACCGAAGCCAGGGTGAATACAACAGCTCTCTTTATTCTTCAAAAACTCAAGCTTATTATGTTACACCTTAAAAAAAATCTCAAGAAACCAAGCGAGTGAGTATGTTGCTCAATTTTGCTACTTCATTGGTATAACACCTGTACTGTGTGGCTGCAGAGCTGCAATTAAATACTTGCAGAAATTATGCAGTCGATGCCATATTAAAACATAGTCATATACATAAGCCTGCATTGATCCATCAAGTCCGATCAGACTATTATATTACCCTGTTGAATGCACATAAGCAATATAGATCAAGTTTTTAGAAGAAAAGAATCATTTTAGCATTTTTTTACAGAAAGTATTTAGTCACAATGTAACTATAAAAGTAAAATGGAGACTTTCCTGCATATCTATTAGAGAAGCTACCAAGGTGTCGCTTTGTGTTTTTTTCAAGTATTATAAAAGAACTAACATAATTCTGAAGGTTTTACTAAACTGTTTCTCCTCATCAAAATAATTCAACTAATGAAACTAAAACAACAGTCGGTGATGACAGCAGAGTTCCTCCTGAAGTGTCCACATGCACATTGTCTCGATACAAACATACACATTGTCTCAAAATACACATTGTCTAAATACACACATGCATATTATCTAAATATACCATGCACATTGTTTAAATACACAGAATCTGATGCACATTGTGTCAATTAACAAGCTCACATTGTCTTAATATAATACACACACTGTTGCATTGTCTCAAAACACATGTGCACATTGTTGAAATACAAACATGCACAATGTCTCAATACAAACATGCCTATTTGTATCAATACAAGAGCCATGTCAACATGGCCATCCCCCGCCGAATGTGTTTGCTCATTGGAAGAATGTATATGTAGTAGAGCAGAATAATTCCATTTTAAGAGGTCTTTTGGTAATGAAAACTGATGGCTATAGTGATTACAGATTTGAAACCTATTACAGATTTGAAACCTATGTGAATACTGATGGCTGAAAATAACAAAGAGCAATAACTGAAAAATAATGCAGGGTAGGTTATCATTCTTGTGTGCTGCATCCCTCCTCAATAAAATCTATCCACCTATGAAGTTTCAAGTTGATACCTCAAATACTTTTTGAGAACAAAATTGAATTGAAAAATTGAGTATGAAAAATAACAAAGGGCAATAACTCAAAAATTATAAAAGGTACAGTTATCATTCTTGTGCAGTGCTCACCTCCTGAGTGAGATCTATGCACCTATGAAGTTTCATTTTGATATCTCAAAGGCTTTTTGAGTTAGGCTCTGGACAAAAATTAATTTTGAAAAATAACAAAGGGCAATAACTCAACAAGAGCTGTCACAGGAGACAGCAAAGCTCGACTAATAAAATACTGGACGCAGTAAGGAGGACAAAACTATGAAAGAAAAATCAATTATGTATAATTATGTATTAAGTTATAGTAAAAAAAATAATAGTTGTTAACATAAATTCCATGATCAAGGGGAATAATTCTAGAAATAGTCATGCTAGAGTTATGGACCTTGTCAAACAACATTTGTGTAATGATAAGAAATATATATTTGAAGTTTGAAGTAGATACCTTAAAAAGTAAAGAAGTTTTTATATTTCTTAAAGAAAATCCTAAGTTCAAAGAGAGATAAATGTGTAAATATTGCTTCAAAAGTTATGAACATTGTCACATTAAATGTAATTGATGATAAGGAATAAGTATTGGAAGTTTGAGGTAGATACCTTTAAAAATAAAAAAGTTATAATAAAAAATAACATTTTTCTAGTAAAATAATCTAAGTTTATGGGGAGATAATTCTTGCAATATTGGTGCTAGAGTTATGAACCTTGTCACATAAGATGTGGATGATGATAACGTAAATATATTTGAAGTATGAAGTTGATC